GCTTTTTGTTTTTAAAGGGCCCATCTCATGTAAAATAACTCTTTAACGTCAAACGCGTCATAGGTGAATCTGCCGCGTCGTCGTTGTAGCAGCTTTAGTTCGTTGTCACGCGGGAGGGTGGCAGAAATACGCTACAATTTGTAAAAAAACAACAACAAAAATGGTGAATCATTCTAAAAACTACTTCTGTGACAAATACAAGGCCGACACATCACTCTTAAAGGTTGTATGGAGGATTTTTTAAGGGAAGAGAAATACAGCGACAGTCCTTTTTCAAATGTTGTGCATGTGTGACACCACCTTCCTCCTCCACAGCTCCTCAGTAGAAACACCTCCTCCTCCCGCTTCTTTGCTCTAGAAATCACGTTTCTTTACAGCCTCGTTCAGAATTACTGTTGAAGTTTCCTGTCTAGAATTAATTCATCGACCGACGCGTCAGTTTTTAGACCCTTCGCCTGCTTCATTCGCGCCATCGCTGGACGAGATCGCCAAGAATCACCTCAGTTTGTCTTTGCTCCTTTTCGCCTTCTCTTCTTCTTTCATCGACCTCAAAAATTGACTTTCTTTCGCGGCGAACCGGTCGTGGATTCTCGTCCGACATTGTGACAAACTTTGTGCGAACTGCGAGGAAGCGACGGTATAAAAAAAGCCTCTAAGAACCTTTGCATAAACCACGAAATCCCCACGCGCCGGCGAGTCAGTTACACTAGAAACGTAGCAAGTTTGATTGACAACCGAACAGCCAATAGAAAATGAGGCAGCCTCGTTTTCTATTGGCTGATGTTTATCTGGCCTCAACACGTCCACAGTTGATCGATTTTCATTCTTTTTTTTTTGGTCATCATAATTACAAAGCTGCTGCGTCTCTGTAATGGTATTTTAAACTTTCAGTTTTACAATTCGAAACAAAACAAAAATCCTCCATACAACCTTTAAGAAGTGTTCAAACCAGAGCGTCAAAAAACGCCCAGACGCCTCTATTGGGACGCCTTTGCATTTGAGTTTAGACGCCCCACCGGGACTAGACCAGGACTAAACCAGGACTGATCAAGTGTCATTAGCGGAGTATAAATATATATACGCCCCAGTCGTCGACCCGATCTCCTCCGGTGATGGTTTTATATCATAAAAACACAAAAGTCTCTCAGTCTGGTCTGGCATCGTTTCGGGAAAAGACCGGGACCAGGCTCTTGTTTCCAGGGTTTAGTCCCGGTCTACCAGTCCTGGTCTAGTCCTGGTTCAGTGCTGGTCTGGTTCCGGTTTAGTCCTCGTGATCCGCTCGGTGATTGTAGCGTATATATTCATGCTCCGCTAATGTTTGTCTCTGGATACTCGTCCCTGATCGGTCGACGCGGCGTGTCCGACGTGAAAAGTTCAGCATTTTCAACTTCTGACGCTGACGCCCTGGACACGCGCCCAGAGCGTCGACGCCACAACACCCAGGACGCACCGCAAAAACTCACGACGCCTCAGACGCGTGTCCACATAGACTTTACATAGAAAATGGAGGCTTTGACGCTCTGGTCTGAACACCCCTTTAGCTCTGAAAAGTTTATTTTGCATGAGATGGGCCCTTTAAATCATAGGCCATTTCAGATTCATACATTTTTCCCGTAAACTAATGAGGGGAGTGTTTAATCTTTTTTATTCATAATCAACCTGTTCTTCTATTTAGCTTGAGTGACCCACAGAAAAAGGTGTTTCAGTGTCCATCGGCTGCACGTCTTCTCTCCGTACATTCCTCTTTTCCACGTTCAATATTTCCAGAGTGTGTGTAAAGTCCGAGCGTGCTGAGTGCATATATCTTGGACTTGGCCCGGGCCCAGCTCCGTCTCTGCGTCTCTGCGTCCGTAAGGCTCCGAGGCTCCGAGGCTCCGAGGCTCCGAGGCTCGGAGTCTGTCCCTGCGCTCTCGGATTATTGGCACATTCAAATGGAATCACTTTATTGTGCGCAGAGATCAATGAGCTGGAACAACGCTGTCACTGCCGATAACAACCCCCACACAAACCGCCGCACTCTGCACTGACCCACACCACCGGGAGGAAGAGAGAGGAGGAGGAGGAGGAGAAGAGGAAGAGGAGGAGGAGAGGAGGAGGAGGAGGAGGAGGAGGAGGAGAGGAGGAGAGGAGGAGGAGGAGGAGGAGGAGGAGGAGGAGGAGGAGGAGGAGGAGGAGGAGAGGAGGAGGAGGAGGAGGAGGAGGAGAGGAGGAGGAGGAGGAGGAGGAGGAGGAGGAGGAGGAGGAGGAGGAGGAGGAGAGGAGGAGGAGGAGGAGAGGAGGAGAGGAGGAGGAGGAGGAGAGGAGGAGGAGGAGGAGGAGGAGGAGGAGGAGGAGGAGGAGGAGGAGGAGGAGGAGGAGAGGAGGAGGAGGAGGAGGAGGAGGAGGAGGAGGAGGAGGAGGAGGAGGAGGAGGAGGAGGAGGAGGAGGAGGAGGAGGAGGAGAGAGGAGGAGGAGGAGGAGGAGGAGGAGGAGAGAGGAGGAGGAGGAGGAGGAGGAGGAG